CGGTTCAGCGGGGAGTGGAGTAGTGAGGTCCAGCGAATCAGGCGTGTCAAACGCATCAAGGAGGAGCAGTTTGGTAGGGAGCGGGGCAGCGAGATCCAGCAAACAAGTGGGATCCATGAGAACTTTACTCTCTTATGCAAGGAGGAGGAATTAGAGTTGGGGGGAAAGTTTGAAGTGTTGTGATAGGATTATATTAAGGCTAATTGTTTTCGTTCATTTTTCTCTTTTTTATTTTTAAAAGGAGTCGCCAGCTTGTCAATCGTCGTATAATTCCCCCCTTCGAAATAATCTCCCTCCTGAACCATATAAATGATTTTGAAGAGGAGAGGAACCAAATAAGAAGGGACATACGACAAAGTGACAAACAAGAGAAAAAGTAAAACGTGGAGAGTCTACGTGCGATAAACCTCGCAAAGATAGGTTAAGAATGTCCGTCCAAACAAGATCGGGCGGATGCATCTTAAACCAATATCCGCGAAAGAAGTATCTATATAGACTACACATAACCAGAGAGTCAGGTGTATGTACCTGTTTTGGGGTCAAGAACACTCCCAGAGAAACGTGTTCCTACTGGTTAATTACATCTTGAGGGATACCCAAAAATACTCTCGATAAAAGGAGTTTCGCTTCATATTATCAAAAACCTGAGGTGTAACCAAAAGAAGGTTATTCCGTGTGGGAACAGTCTCAATGCTTCAAAGCTCATGCTAAGCCATCGAGCAGAGAGTGAGTCCCTCACATCCCAAATGGGTAGTGGCTAATCAGCACACGAGGCCCACGGACTAACCTAAATCATCTTAACGGAGATTTCCCAATACATCAAAGCACATCCGGCCCAAAGGGCAAATGACAAATCGTCGTATCCCAAATGGGCGGCAGCTCATCGGCATCGGGTCGTCAAGGTGATATCAACGAGGTCAAGGAGCGACAGGGCTCAAAGGGGCTCAACAAAAAGGAAGCTAGAGTGATCCTAAAAGGTAGAGGTAACTAGGTCGGGGTACCACAGACCCGCCATACACAGCTACTAGAACCCTAAGTCTACCTGATCGTGAAGGTAGTCGACCCAACACGTCCTGAAATCCCCGGTCAACAATCTGTGAATTGCATCATCCACGGGAACCTCGGTAGCCCTAAGGTCAAAGGAAAGAAACTCTATCCTATAACTATAAGCTGGAGCTCCAAGAGGTGGGACTTATACCTGCCGAAGTGACAAGGATACCTCTGGAAAGAAGAGAAAGCGGAGGTTCAGCTACAAAGCTGTAAACACTCCAACAAAAGGACTTACACCCCGTCTGGGTCGGGGAGCCTTCTAACACCCTGGGCGCACTAGACAACAACCTATATGAAGGTATGCTGGGTCAGTCAGGTTGGAAAAGTACGGGGACTCCTCCTCG